GATTTTTTCAAAATATCGTATTATTGTTGATTTATAAATTTGACAATTTTTCTTTATTAATTTTTTTCTGGAAATTTCAATAATATTATCTTATAGTTTTTATATCATATTATAAACTAGCAATTTTAAGCTTCAATTTAAAACACATATATCATGATTCTTAAAAATACAGTCGATAAGATTTTTTAAAAATATCGTACTATTTTTGATTTATAAATTTAACAATTTTTTCTTTATTAATTTTTTTCAGGAAATTTCAATAATATTATCTTATAGTTTTTATACCTTATCATAAACTAGAATTTTTAGGCTACAATGTAAGATATACAGCATATCATGATCCTTAAAAACACAGCTGATATGATTTTTTTAAAGTATCGTATTATTTATTGTTGATTTATAAATTTGACAATTTTTTCTTTATTAATTTTTCTCTGGAAATTTTAATAATATTATCTTATAGTTTTTATATCATATCATAAACTAGAATCATCAAGCTTCAATTTAACGCACATATCATATCATGATGCTTAAGAATACAGCCTATATGATTTTTTGATTGTTTTGTATAATTTTTGATTTATAAATTTCACAATTTTTTCTTTATTAACTTTTTTCTTGAAATTTCAATAATATTATCTTATAGTTTTAATATCACATCATAAAGTAAAATCTCTAAGCTTCAATTTAACATATATATCATATCACGATTCTTAGGAATGTAGTCGATATGATTTTATGTAAGTTTCGTATTATTTTTGATTTGTAAATTTGGCACTTTTTTCTTTCATGATCTTTTTTCTGGAAATTTCAATAATATTATGTTATAGTTTTTATATCATATCATAAACTAGAATCTTTAAGCTCCAATTTAACACACATATCATATCATGATTCTTAAAAATACAGTTGATATGATTTTTTTAAAAATATCATACTATTTTTGATTTATAAATTTGACAACTTTTTCTTTATTAACTTTTTTCTTGAAATTTCAATAACATTATCTCATAGTTTTTAGATCACATCATAAAGTAGAATCTCTAAGCTTCAATTTAACATGTATATCATACTATGATCATTAAAAATATTGTCAATATGATATTTTGAAAATTCCGCATTATTTTTGATTTATAAATTTGCCAATTTTTCCCTGTAGATTTCCTAAATTGAAGATTCCTGGAAGATGTATTGCAGAAGAACGGCGACGATGGATACAATGAGGGATATCCAACAAGCCACCAGCCGGTTTTATCAGCCTTCCTTACGTTTCAGGTGTAACGGAGCTAATTGCGAGATGTCTGAAGAAGAATGATATCATGGTATGATACGGTACGATCAATAAAATACAAAACGCTATTTACGACAAATTAACCCCATTAAAGGAAGCGGGAGTCTATCGGCTATCAAGGACATCAAGAAACACGAGAGGGATGTCCTACTGAAAAATCTAACAATCTGCAGTCGCAGAGCATTGCCACAAAGGAGGACACACCATAGAGTTTGACAAAACCAAAGTGCTAGCAAGAAATGGACATTACTTCCAAAGATTGACGAGGGATGACATGAGTAGAGTAGACGGTTGGGAACTTCTCGGCTGGGAAGACTTCTAAAAAAATTGTCAAACTGTTCAAGCCCAACCCAAACGGCAAACTTTTTATTAAATAACTGTTTTTTTTTTTGTATGCCCTTTAAATTACTGCGCAGACATGGTAACTTATCAAACAATGATACAGGATTTCTTACAAATTACGAAATATTTAAACAGGTATCTGCTGACGGTTTTTTAAACGTCAAATTAAATTCAGTGTTAAAACACTTCATATAAATCCAAAGCTTATCAATATATTCGTTTGGAATGCCGTCTTCTTGACATTCCGACCAATCCTTTGACCCTGGTCGAGATTTTTTTTCTTTTTTTTCTTTTGTAGTTCCAATACTTAAATCCGGCAATAGATTTCCATTTTCTCGGCTATTCCCAAGGTTTTTGAAAATATTGTTCACAATAATTTTAGCCACTCAGTACTCCCACTCTCATTACTGAACAACATAGTTTCTTTTCTGGACGATCGGTTGAATCGAACTTGGTGTCCTATGTTAACTTTATCCATTCTGCCTTAAACAAGGAAAAATGAAATTCTGCCACATCGATTATTTATATTTTTATACAAAAGCTGTCCTCTTTTAGCATTCCAGATGGCATTGTTCGCTGGATAATATCATATGTATCGGATAGAGTCAGGCAGTCAAGTCACCTTGGGACCACATTATTTTTAAGTTACATAAATGACATATCTCCTAGTTTTAAATTTTTCAAATTCCTGCTCTTTGCCGATGATAATAATATAAAGTCTTGACTGCCTAAGGCTTCAGGAGTACCTTGACCGTCTGCATGACTAGTGTCACGTTGACAAACTTTATCTTAATTATGACAAATTTAAAAAAATAACGTTTACATGGATACGTAATATCCTATTAATTTTAATTACAACTTTAATGGCAAAACTCTACTGACAAAGTTAAGGATCTTTTGGCATTATACTTGATGCCAAATTAAAATATCACCTTCATATCCGAATTCATGAGTAGAAACTTTACCAATTTTACTAGCATTAAATCTCTTTATATGGCGTTTGTTAATCTTATGGTTCTATAGTGTCGGATCCTATGAACCCTGTCTATTGAAATCGCATCGAAGCAGTTCAACGACGCTTTGTACCCTTTTTGGCATATAAATATCATCTTCTTTTACTTGTGACAATATTACATTCCTTTTATGTACATTTAAGTAGATAAGAAATGAGAGTTCTGGATCAAAAGTTAACCCCCTTATCCCCCTATGACGTCACACTCCAATGTTATAAGTATAGGGAAAATAACCAACTTAAATCTGGGGGGAAAGTAGCTAGATTTAGGTTGGTATTGGAAAGTAACTAGAATCTGGTGATTTTTCTACGGCTAAGTTGCTCCTGCCGCGACGAAAATTCGAAAATTTGTGTGATGAAACTAAAAAGGGGTTTACCTAATGAGCGATAGATGGCGCGCACGAAAATTTAAAATCATGTAAAATCTAGCTACTTTTTTCCCCCAGATTTAAGTTGGTCACTTTCCCTATACCTATAACATTGGAGCGTGACGTCATAGGGGGATTAACTTCTGATCTAGAACTCTCATTTCTTATCTACTCATTTAATACGAACGTTCAACCCAAACTTCGGCCATCTTTTTCTGTTTGGCCTCTTGCTGCGCTCATTTAAAGGACTCTTATTGCGTAACGTTTAGTTCCGAACTACAGAGTGTTAATTAGTTATCGTACCCGACGTCATCATTGCAAATATGCAACCAACATCACAGTGGAATACGCATCATACGCAAATCGCATATTGCAATACCAATACTGTGATATTGGTTGCATACATATTGGCTTCAATATTGTATNTCTTAGACAGCTCGCTTTATAATTTCGGGGACGCCATATCAGTCAATTACGAGAGTTAGTAGTGTAATACGTAGTAATACATCAGGTTTACATACATTCATATTCGGAAAGTGAAAATGGGTCGTGTAAATGCTTGTAAAAGGAAAGTTACCTTTAAGAAAAGAAATAGGGGTGGAAATTGCAGTATGTTGAATAGAGCAAAAAACGAAAAATTTGTAAAAAGTATTTTACAACAATTTTTACAAGTATTAGTACAACGAACCTGTTAGCTTTTGATCGCGAAACCAATAAATCATTTACTGAAGATGTGCCACCATTAGTTGTAATATGTGCAAAAGGGAATTTAAATTACATACAGCAAAAGATATTGTAAACGAAGATGTTGTCCAAGGTACAATGAGTATTGGAAGTGGTTTCTTCAATATGGAGGAAGTATTTTCCGTTTTAAATATACCGTTCATGTCATCTAAGTTGTACCAAAAATGTCAAAATCGAGTAGCTGATGCTTGGGAGAGTGTTGCAGTACAAGTCATGAAAGAGGCTGCAGTTGAAGAAGCCACATATGCCATACAAAATGGTAAAGTGGATCATGACGGTGTTCCATTAATAACTGTTGTGGCCGACGCTTGTTGGAGCAAAAGATCTTACAAACAAAATTATAACGCGTTGTCAGGTGCTCAATCAGGAAAAGTTTTGTACCTTGCTGTCAAAAATAAATTTTGTTGTCTTTGCGCTCAACAACCAGACAAAGACCACGTTTGTTTTAAAAATTATAAAGGAAGTTCCACAGGAATGGAATCAGAAGGTTTGGTACAAGGCTTTAAAGTTAGTGAAGAAGTATACGGCTTGCGGTATGCGACAGTGATTGCTGATGGAGATAGCAGCACCTATAAACGAATATTGGACTCAAGACCGTATAAAAATTTAACTGTAGAAAAAATAGAATGCTGCAATCATCTATTACGAAACTATTGCAATAAATTAACAGCAATAACTAAAGAAACCAGATTTATGTTAAAGTTCCGTAAAATAATTGCCAAAAATATTTTACGTTTTCGTTCTGCGGTAAATGGAGCAATAAACCACAGACGAGATGAAAATAAGGAAAATGCTGTACATCTTTTAAAAAAGGACATCGACAACTCTTTCTATCATATTTTAGGCCACCACGACAACTGTGAAAAATACTATTGCACTCCAAAAGAAGAAACAAACTACGTTGTGGAAATGAGAACTTCCTGTCCAGAAATGTATTATAGATTGCAACAAATCATCTCATCAATTTCAAATCAAAGTAGGAGTCTTTTAAAGAAACAAAACAGTAACATAGTCGAACAGTTTAATTCAATAATAGCAAAATTTGTGGGCGGTAAACGAATAAATTTTTCTCAAAGGAGATCATATCAAGCTAGATGTCATGCAGCAGTTATTTCATTTAATTCAAGAAGACTACACTCTACTACCAAAAAATATCGCGGTAGTAGTATAAGCGGTAGTTTATTGGATAAATTTGAAGAAAAAAGAATAAAATGTACGCTATCAACTAAAAGAAGACGTCTTGAGAGAAGAGTAAGAAAGAATAATAATAAAAATGTTCAAAGTACAGATAAAGAATATGGAGATTCGTGTTTAAAGGCAGATTTAGACGAAGAGTTATTTGAGCAGGAAAAAGAAAGATTTTTAGAAACTTTAAATATAACAGAGGCGGAAAAGCAGCAGCTTCAACGCGACACTATATTTCAATCGGATAGTGGGTACTGGTTATAAGAAAGAAGAAAGCGACTCACGGCTTCAAACTTTTATAAAGTATGCACCCGGAAGAATACGACCCTTTGTACCAACTTGGTGAAATCCCTCCTTTATGCACAACAACATTTGTTGAATTCGAAGAGTATAAACCATGGCAAAACTAATGAAGGGATTGCTTTAGATTTGTTACAGGCCCAAGAAAACATAATAATAGAGAAGTGTGGTTTGTTTATTCATTCAAAACATTACTTTCTAGGTGCCAGTCCCGATGGTCTGGTAGGAATTGATGTTATCGTAGAAATTAAATGTCCTTACACGGCATACAAAATGCACCCGGATGAAGCCATACGAGAACGAAAAATTAAGTTCTGGAATTATAACAAAACAAATAACACATACGAGGTCAATAAAAAACATCAATGGTATTACCAAATACAAGGCCAGATGAAAGTAACAAATCGCAATGGCTGTATTTTTGCCATTTTCACAGGACATGAATTTCCATTGAAAGTAGAATACCTTAGACGAGATAGAAAATTTTGGAATGAAAATATGGAGTACAAATTAAAAAGGTTTTATAACGAATGTTTACTTCCGGAATTGGTGGATCCGCGACACTCCCGACATATGCCAATTCGTGAACCAAACTATATTATGTCGGCAAGATTAGAAACGCCGAAAACAAGAAAAAGAAAGCGCGAATAAAATACACCGTTTTGTAATTATACTGTTTACATTTAACGAATTTTTATTATAAATATGTAGTTTAGCATTTTTTTATTTATTATTCTACATTATTATTTTAATTTATTTAATTTAGATTAAAATAAATCGATTTTTCTATTAATATTTTTATGTAAATACACTTCCTTTTTTGTGTGTGTATATTTCTATTTCTTAGAAACACAGACTTTTTTTGCTGGCGACACGAGTGCAATAACGAAAGTTGGGGGAATTGTTTATAAGTGACACCTGCGTTTACTTTATAAACCCCGCCCTATTTTAGCCCGATTCTGAGTTCCCACGTGTGGACCCATTCCTCTTAATACGAACGTTCAACTCAAACTTCAGCCATCTTTTTCTGTTTGGCCTCTTCCTGCGCTCATTTAAAGGACTCTTATTGCGTAATGTTTAGTTCCGAACTACAGAGTGTTAATTAATTATCGTACCCGACGTCATCATTGTAAATATGCAACCAACATCACAGTGGAATACGCATCATACGCAAATCGCATATTGCAATACCAATACTGTGATATTGGTTGCATACATATTGGCTTAATTTATTTAATTTAGATTAAAATAAATCGATTTTTCTGTTAATATTTTTATGTAAATACACTTCCTTTTTTGTGTGTGTATATTTGTATTTCTTAAAAAACACAGACTTTTTTTGCTGGCGACACGAGTGCAATAACGAAAGTTGGGGGATTGGTTGAATTGTTTATAAGTGACACCTCCGTTTACTTCATAAACCCCGCCCTATTTTAGCCCGATTCTGAGTTCCCACGTGTGGACCCATTCCTCTTAACGATTACAGCCTCAAACTAGTGTTACATATAGGTGTTTCTAAATTGAAGCGAAAGATTTCAAGGGATGATTTTTCAGCAAAAATTAAGGGGGTCTTTCATATAACTTTTTGTTCAAAACCCCTTCCCCACTGAGATACAGCCCTCTAAAATTATGGGGAAAAAATAGTTTTTATTTAGGGACTGCCTCCGCTGCCGACGCTGGCCCCTAAGGGCGATGACAGACACGGCGGTTTTCGTCGAATCGGCTGCCGACTCGACCACCGTCTCGGCGTATACTTCTAATGTTTCATATTAGTTAAGGCACACACAGCGTTGCCCACCGCCTCTCGGCTCTGTGGCCGACTCGACACGTCGTTGACTCGTTCTGCAGCGGCTGCTTCCCGAACAGAAAGCGGCTTGTTATTCCACGTGTTTATATCTACCCGGACACACAGAGCTGTCTTTCGTTCGGTTTTCCGATTTTAATTTCATGAAAATGGACGAAATAATTGATATAGAAAAACTCATTGTGGAAATTCAAAACCGTCCTGCATTATGGGACATGAAAACGAAAGAGTACAGCGATAGAGTAAAGAGGAATGAGTGCTGGGAAGAACTTGTGAATGTTTTTGCCGACCAAAACATGACAATAGATGCAAAAAAACAATTAGGTAAGTTCAAATATTTATTTATAATTACAAGTAAGTTAATATAATTATAAGTATTGAGTTTATTTTGATAAATATTGACAATATCGATCTCTAACAGCAGTGGCTCTAGAATTTCCTCTATGATATGAATCTGGTGGTAAACTCTGCATATTGGATTCAATTTCATTCATGTTCTCTTCAATAAATAGGTTTTCTCGCAATCCATCTCTTCTTCTAACAAAGTTATGTAGAACACAAGTGGCTCTAATAATAATTTCAATTAAATCTATGTCGACATCTAGTGATCGATGAAATATCCTCCATTTGTTAGCCAAAATTCCAAATGTACATTCGATATATCTTCTGGCTCTGGATAGTTTGTAATTAAATATTTTCTTAGCATCTGTAAGATGTTTGCCTCCATATGGTGTAAGTAGATTTTCTGCTAGAGGAAATGCTTCATCGCCTATTATTACATAGGGATACGGTTCATTTGAATTGGGGAAAGATCGTGGTGGAGGCACGCTTAAGGAACCTTCAGTTAATTTACGAAAAAGTGCAGAATTCTTGAATATTCCAGCATCACTAGATTTTCCGTAAGATCCGACTTCTATATAGGTAAAACAAAAGTTGGCATCGCACATTCCAAACAATACAGTCGAAAAATAATTTTTGTAGTTATAGTACATAGAGCCACTGTTGGGCGGTTGCTTAGTTCTAATGTGTTTGCCATCTATGGCTCCAATGCAGTTTGGAAACTTTGCGTTTTTTTCAAATCCTGCTGCTATCTCTAACCACTTTTTTGTACATAGTTTTGGTATGGTACTTTCAACTAAACAAAACCAAATTGCCTCGCATACTTCTTTAACAATAGAACTAGCAGTAGATCTTCCCACTCGGAAAGTATAATGAAGATCGGTTAGGGAGCACCCAGTTGCTAGATATCTAAAAAGATATTATTGTAAATGCAATATTCCATGAGAAAATTTTTTTAGAAGAGTGATCATGTAAGAAAAATTAAAAAAGTTTCTTTTTTATGATTCCAGTAATTTATTTCTTCTTTAGAGATACCCTATTTCGAAAGCTACGAACCATAAAAATGAAACTGTTCAAATTTTCCCTCACTGTTATGAAGATCTTTTCGTTGTATAATATAGTGACGACCGTAACTTTCTGTCGATATTCATTTTGTTTATTTTAGGTGAGTTGATACGAAAGAAATGGAAGAACATTAGAGATAGATTTGCGAGGGAATTGCAAGAAAGGAAAGGAAAGTCTGGGGATGGAGCAAGAACAAAAGCTCCGTATGTGTATACAAAGCATTTACAATTTTTAAAAGATATTTTGACACCAAAACAAACCATAAATTCTTTAGAACAAATTTCAAATACCGAACCAATAATATCTGAACAAGAACCTGGACCTTCTATGACCAACCCTCCACAAACAGAATGGAAGAGACTTGGGAAGAAAAGACTGTATCCTTTTGAGGACAAATTAATAAATTCGTTGGAAACTGTTCAGAAAAAAATGATGGAAGCAAAATCTACACCTCCAGATGATAATGACGACAACCGGCATTTCGTCCTGTCTTTGCAACCAAGTCTTTCAGCGTTACCAAGACACCTAAATACACTTTGCAGAATAGAATTATTGCAAGTCATGTCCAAGTACGAAACATACGGTCATTCACGTCAAAATCAATTACAAACAATACCCAGTTTCACGCAAAGTCAATTTAGCAATATGCAACAACACCATCAACAACAACCTCAAGTTCCAGTTCCATCGCCATCTCCAGCAAGTTCCTATATATCAACTTTTAGTACTGAAGAAGACTCATTCCCATACTAGGTTGTTAATATTATAATAAATATATTTTTGAATAAAAAGCTTGAGTAAATATGATTTTTTTTCTTGCTTACCTAAGAGTAATGACTAACTTTTCTTCAGGAGGAATACTACACCTCATACGAGTATTTGTTTTAGTAATATTTCCCTTTATAGTATTTAATAATTCATCAAAAGTAGTCATTGACATCCTCAAATAATTGAAAAATTTGTCTTCGTCACTTTTTAGTTCCGCAAATAAGGTTTGAAACTGACCTTTCTTTTCTCTTTCCATTACAATGGGATGCACCCACATTCTACGATTTTTTTTCTTTTTTCGTTTCCAAAGCACATATAGCATTGACAAATAAATAATATGATTTAAATAATCATTGTAATCATCCATCTTTGAATAACCGTTATACTTAACAGAAAACCGAGCGAATATTGCAACTGGTAAAAACCGCAATGTGTGCCAAATAGTCGCGGCAGCCGACTCGGCTGCCGATTCGGCGAAAACCGCCGTGTCTGTCATCGCCCTAAAAATATCACTATTGGGAACGATTCGGGATGCTAGAACAACAGCAAATCAAAAAAGAAGATTTCCTCGCACCTATTACATAAGATTAGCGTGTGTAAAAAGAGGCAGACCTTTCAAATCAAAAAATGACCATTCATCAAGAAAGTGCACAACTTTAACCCTAGGATGCATAAACCAGGCCTCTCAGGCCCGGCGAACTTTCAGTTACTCATAATTTTCTTAAAATAATTTCAATCGGCTTGAGTATTTAGATATGTGTACAAGTGTAATTAGCAATCGAAAAAAAAATCGTTTCCATTAGCACCCCGTATTTGCATAAACCGGGCCTCCGAAACCCGTGTACTACTAGTTACTATAGAACAAGTTTCAACTTGTTCATTACAGGTTGAGGGTTATTATAATTTGTCAAAAGCTGGGTCCACATCAATAAAAATTTGCGTGTGTGTTAAATTTACTGTGCGGCGAAAATTTTTACCGACGTAAAAGTAGCACACACAGCCAATAAATATTTGTGCTGTGTGTGTTGTATGCCCTGCTCCGTCTGTGTGTGTAGTATGATTTTGTTAGGTTATGTTTTAGTAACTTATTCCAACAAGTGGCAAAAATAAATTTGTTTATATTTATCGGTGGTTAAACCTTATCTAAACAAAATCAAATAATGGATCTCGATAGAGAAAATGTTTTAGTTTTAATAAAAGAGTATAGTAAAAGGAAGGTGTTGTGGGACCCGAAGCATCCTTTCTACTTCAATAAAAAAAAGAAGTTCGATGCCTGGCAAGAAATTGCAAGCATATTAGAATTATGTGTAGATGACATTAAAAAGAAAATTAACAGCTTACTAGGCTCCTTAAGGCGTGAAAGAGCTAAAGGAAAAAAGACAATTGGAACAGGCAAAGGTACGTATTTTGGTAATTATCAGCATTTAGTATTATAAAAATGTTGCATCAGTATAAAGCTTTGTTTTATTATTTTAAAGGAACTGAAGAAGTGTACAAATCCGATTGGTTTGCTTTGCCAGCTTTTTCTTTTCTATTCGACAAAGACGAACCTAGAAGTACCTTGAGTTCAGAAGAAAAGTTGGTAAGTAAACAATTTCAAATCTTTAATTTTTTGTTTAAATTATGTTTATAATAATTGAATTACAAATGAATTAATACTCCAAATATAGAAAATGGAGTTCAGAATACCATAGATAGATATTAATAATCCAGTTGCCATTCAACCACCCCTTCGGTAGTGAAATAAGTACAAAATCCTTCACGGACTTCATTTGCTTGAAATGTTGACCTTCGTGGAATATTTCGTAGATTCCTAAGGTTGTCAATGGTTTCTGAAGATCTCCAAGTTCCTTCAACTAAACGCCCTTCCACTTCTGTATCAAAAGTTCCAGGAGGAGTGTATATCTTCTTTGAACTCTTGCTCCTCATTAAATAATTATGAAGATACACAATGGTCATTACTATTAAATCACATTTTTTGGGTTCTAGCAAAAATGGCTTTCTCAAAACTCGAAACACAGCTGAAATTATGCCAAATACATTTTCCACAACTCTTCTAGCTCTGCTCAACCTATAATTAAAAATTCGTTCTTTTGATCCTTTTCTATGGTCTCCAGCAAATGGTTTCATTACGTTCTTTGTCAAAGTAAATGCTTCATCACCTACAATAACATAGGGAATATCCTTGTCTCCTCCAGGGAGTGGTTTTGCAGATGGTAATCCTAACGTATTACTCTCAAGTTTTTTATAAAGTTCTGTGTTTCTGAATACTCCCCCGTCAGAAATTCTACCTTGACATCCAATATTAACATAAAGAAAGTTATAATTCGCATCGACCAGAGCAAAAAGTACTATGCTAAAGAAGCCTTTGTAATTATAGTATTCACTTGCACTGTTAAATGGTGCTTGGAGAATAACATGCTTCCCATCAATTGCGCCAATGCAATGAGGAAAGTTCCATATTTGCTCATAATCTCGAGCCACTTCCAGCCATTCTTCTGGGGTTGAAGGCATCTAAAAAAATCAATCTGCAGTGATAGAATCGTACTTAAAATATAATATACATTTTTAAAATCTTTTTTACAGTATTGTTAGATAATGTACATATATATTTTTTATAGGAAAATGTAAACGCCGAAGCTCAACCTTGTTCTACTTTAAATATAAACGCTAATGCCCAGCCTAATCCCAGTTTAAATGTAAACGCTGATGTTCAACCTGACAATAATTTAAATGGTTCTGGCACCAACAATGATACTGATACAAGCTTCGCTATACCACAAGCACCTATATCAGCACAACCAGCAAGTAAAATAAGAAAGCGAGCAAAGAAAAATGACGAGGATCCGCGTATAGAAATGGCTTATAAGTTTTTACAAGCACCGATGGAAAAAGAAGATTGCACACAACTATTTGCTAAATATGTCGCGGAAAAATTGAATCAGTTCGATCCATACACAAAGTCAGTCTTGACTCATAAAATTAATACTTTAATTTTTGATGCAGAATTGTCAAGACTTGGTGCGGCACCAAATGGTTCCCAATGTTTCATGTCCCCTTCCCAACATTCAGTTTCACCATTACATTCTGTTCGTGATATTTCATTACAAAGTAGCTCACCACCTTTATCAGTATCACCATCTCCCCAACCCCAATACCTGGTTGTTACCAGCAAACTTCCCACATCCTCAGAACAAACAGTCATTACAAAAGATACAGTCACTACAGAAAATCCAGTGACTGTGGAAAATACAGTGGCTACAGAAAATGCGGTAACATTTGAATTATCTCAATTTTTAAATCTTTAATAATAATTTTTCTAATTGAAAATAAAAATATGTTTAAATAAAAGTTCTTTTTGATGGTATGTGTTTGTTTCATTTACTTACCTTTATGCAATCTTGTAGAACATCAAGTAAAGCTTTACATACTTGCGGAACTATAATGGATATAGCTTGCTTAGATACTTTGAATAGGTACTGAAGAAACGAAGTGTCAAAGCTAGTCTGTCCTTCACACTTATACTTTCTCTGAAGTTAGTATCCTGCTTCTGGATTTTTGGTCCAATCAAATTTATAAATAATTCGAAGTCTTGTACAGACATTCTTAAAAAGTTCTTAAAATGTCCAGTGCTTTCATCTAACGATAATATGTTCAATAAATGTACGCCTTCACCTTCATTATTTCTGCTTTGGTACAAATGTTTCATCCAATACAGCCTTTTCTTGCGACTTTCTTCCTTTTTTTTAATTAAATTGTGCATTATTATGAATGCAGCGCACTTTTTCTTGAACATATTGCTATGCCAGGTAGGTACCTCTTTGAAACTAAGTTTATTTCACATCAACAACACGTCCACATACAAATCCTGTGCGCCGCAAATTCCTTTGATGTTCGGGAGAAAACCGACTTACGATGGTTCGTATGTGTGCTGTGCGGCGAAAATTTTTGTGTGCCACTTTGTGCGTCAAACCGTCCACATTGCCACGCACACACACCACATACAACGTATACAGTCCACACAACGTAAATTTTTATTGATGTGGACCCAGCTAAACACTGCTGCGCGGAATTGTGCGTGCCTGTGCAAGTTAAAACGTGCATTACTGTTGGATGTATAAAAGTACAGCTGCAGGTGCAGCTGTTTTTCATTCAGTTGAAATAGAAGTTGGATTGAGTGATCTTGTGAGATACATATGATAATGGCGTCAAAAAGGAATATGAAAACCGTAAGATTTGGTGACCCAGGTTATGAAGAAATATTAGTGCAGTGGGCAGCTGAATGTGATGATCTGCCTTCTGAAGAAAGTGATGTGTCAGAAGCAGAAAATGATGGAGGTTTGTTGGAGGTATGATTACTCAGACAGAGAGACAGACAGACAGACGGATACACGGACAGATGGACGAACGTACAGATAGGTTAGTTCAGACTGCCATCTGGCTGTTGAATGACGGATATTTTGATAAAGTAATATTTAATAAGAATGATTATGGGTTTGTGTAGCTCCTTATGTTTCATATAACCAAACAGCATTTTCGGCTGATATCCTAATTTTTCGTGCTTAATCACAAAACATTAAAGATATTGATAGGTAGGTTCCAAAATAATGTTGTCTTATCAATTCTTGGGAAATTATACTGTTTAATAAGGAAAGTTTAATTCGATCTGCACCTGTTCACACTGTGATGAGATGCGCCAATGCCCCCGCAGGGTAGAGAATCAACTGTCCCCGGTAGCATAGCTATAGACGTTCTGGACCAAAAGCTATGCTGTTGCCTGATGGGCGATAGATGACGCTTCTAGCTCGTGTGATGTCACCTAGCGGTGGACAGGGAGGCTATTTAGATCGACGGGCTTTATCATGATGATGTCGATACATGCAGACACAAAGCGTTTGGATCTGTTGGGTGATAAATGGCGCGCGCTTTAATACTACCACCGAAATGTTAATAAAATTTATTTAATTTAATAAAAAAACATTTTAATACTACCAATATAATTATTTCTTTAAATTTTCACCACACATCTCCACATATGAATTTTAAATTTACGTACACCATCTATCGCCCATCAGACAAAACGAGATTAGCATAAATATATATTCCGGTTCGGTTAGTTTTGTCTACCCCAGAGCTTTTAGAACTTGTTCTGTTCCAATTAAAAGCCACCGAACCTCAACAGCGATCATCTATCAAAAGAAAACATTATAACTCAGGTGGAAAGAGAACATCTAGATTAGTTAAAAGAAAGACTTCGTTGCGAGCGGACAACAGACGTTTTCTCGAGCAGTTAGGTTATCATGTCCACAGAAAAGTTAAATATATACCGCGTACCCATCGTGGATAATTCGATCGCTAGAGAAGAAGTGCATAGTTATCATCCATCCACAAATTCTTTTCAAAACAACGATATATTCACCATTGAGCTGAACCAAGAAGATGTTTTATACGAACCCGTTTTGGATCTGCCGCTGGATTTCGATTCATACTAGTTTGCAAATTCATAAAACATCTTGTATCTATATTATTTAAATCTTCCGTTCGTATATAATCATTTGAACACTTTCTTCTTAAGTAATTGTGTAAAAGACAGCAGCAAGCAACTACGGTATCGGTGTTATGTAATTGTACCGGTATGGCTGTATGAAATATGCGAAATCTGGCAGCTAAAATGCCAAAAACATTTTCAATAATTTGTCGCGCTCGTGATAGCCGATAGTTATATATTTTAGATTCTTTGTTTAATTCACGTTGAGGAAATGGTTTTAACATATCTGCTCGTAGGGAGAACGCTTCATCACCTATAAATACATATGGTAATTCTTCACAACTGTTTAAAACTTTTGTAGCAGGAGGTATATTCAGTTCTTTGTTTACTAATTTATTAAAAAAGTTAGTATATTCAAGTACACCACCATCGGAGATTCTACCATTTACTCCGAAGTCAATCATAATAAATTCATAATTTGCATTTGCAATAGCCATTAAGACTAAGCTGTGTGTTCCCTTGTAGTTGTAATAATAGGAACCACTTCCAGATGGAGGTACTATTTGGACGTGTTTTCCATCAATTGCACCTAATAAATGAGGAAAGTTCCACCTTCGTTCAAATGATTGTGCAATTGATCTCCATTCATCCTCTGAGTTAGGAAACTGAAAATAAAAAAAATATATATAAAAGTTAAGATTTGTAGCAAATGTATTTTTTGCTNTATAGTAAAAATGCCATTCTCTGGAATGAAATGGTGGACTACTCACCAATTCTAGAATGTATAACGGACTTCACACCCCTACAACACATTTTTATGAAGAAATATCTCACCCACCTAAGTACCAGAGAAGTAGAGGTAAAAAACAGCCTTAAAATCTACACTGATAGTTCAAGGAGACAAGAAGGAGCTGGAGCCGGAGTCTTCTCGTACGATCTTCGACTCCACGTATCTGAACGGTGGGTTGTCATCTGACATTGAAGAAGGCCGCAGTGCATAACTGTGTTAAGGCCCCTACAGACGCTCCGACTTATCCGACGACTTGCCTGCGCAGTTCCGGTTTGCGCAGGCAAGTCCTAGTAATTTTTCGCGATTCAGGCGGCCTGTGCAGGCGGATGACCTGGCCTGTGCTAAATCCGTCTTGTTTGATATTTTTATAAAACTGTGCAGGCAAGTTCGTACGTGTGTAGGCAGGTTCAGTCCGTTACCTCAGTTTTTGTCGTAAAGTAACTAGTTAAAATACTTAACTTAACCTATAAAGTGAACATACTTAGTTTTCTTTACGTAAATTTACAAAATGGATACCAGAAGTATGTCAAAAGACTTTTTATTGAGTTTCATCGGACATTACAAAAACTTTCCATGTCTTTGGAAAGTGAAATCCAAAGAATATAGTGATAAACATAAAAAATCTGCGGCATACGATGTGTTGGCCAACAAAATGCAGGAAGTAGATGCAAACACCACAAGAGAAAGTAGTAAAAAAAATAAATAACCTGCGCAGTGCTTACAGAAAGGAAATGAAAAAGGTAATAGCCAGTAAACGTAGCGGTGCTGGTGAGGATGAAGTATATATTCCTAATCTTTGGTATTACGAATACATCCATTCTTAGGTAATTAAACCGGTCGCCCTTTTCAATTCTTAATTCCGATAATAAATTTGTATGGGAAAAACTATTTCTTTTGAGCAACCACTCTTTTGACCACTTGGATCTTATTTTCCGTTGATTTTTGAATTTATATTTTTTCTTTAATAAGCCTATTATTAGAGCATTTAAAGGCCGGTCCAGACGCTACGTTTTACACAACCTTTTGTCTGCGCAGTTCAACACGTTGCAGACAAAACGTTGCGTGTAGATACGCAGATAGATAGATTACGCAGTTTTGAAACCTGCGGGAAGACTGTACAGTTGCAGCGATAACTGAGCTAGAGAGCATAAATTTCCAGGAACTGTGCGAACAAGTCGGAGCGTGTATACGGTAGGTCCGTTTTCCAATTCATTTTGTACCTCAGTTTCAATTAGTCAGGCGACCATGGCTGACCTACGCAATGTTCTCGGGAGTTTCTCACACAATTTATTGCATTATACGAAAGTTCCCATGCATTTGGCGTGTTAAATCCAAGGAGTATAGTGACAGGGATAAAAAGGGGGAAGCTTATGAGAGATTAGTGGAAAAATACAAAGAAATCGATGTAACCGCAAACAGAGAAACAATTGTAAAAAAAATTAATTCTTTGAGAAGTGTTTATCGTAAAGAATTGGCAAAAGTGAATAAATCGATTCGATCTGGGGCTGGAGAAGACGAAATCTACAAGCCATCTTTGTGGTATTTTGATCTGTTACATTTTCTAAATGATCAGGAGACACCAAGCCAGTCTAGGAATACCATGGATGAAAATGAAGAGTCTGTAGTTGACGAACCACCAAAACAGGTAAGAAAAAAAACCTTTGTAATAGCTTTATTAATTTATTTAAATACACCATTAATTGTTTAAAGTTATAAATTTATCTGCCCAAGGAACAGACCCCTCATTGTTAAAGTACTCTTTGAATTTATCTCTGACCACGATAGCATTATTCAAAATCTGTCCTCTTGTTCCACGCTGTAGGTCGTGTAATAATTGTGGGTCACATCTTTCACCTAATTCAACAGTACATTCAGAAATATTTTCCCNTTTTTTCGGGGGATAAATTTATCGTAGTTAATAAAACTCGAAATCTTGAGGCCAAAATTCCGAAAATATTCTCAACAATCCGTCGAGCTCTGGAAAACCTGTAATTACAAATGTCCTCTTCCAATGTTAAAGCCCTTCGGCTATATGGCTTCATTATATGTTCTTTTAAAGGAAAAGCGTCATCTGCTATAAATACGTATGGCACCTTTTCTGGAAAATTTGGTAGTTCTATTGGATCTGGGAGTTTTAATCTGTTTTCTTGAAGTCTTTCATAAAATTTTGTTGCGGTAAAGACTCCACCATCTGAAATTCTACCATTTGATCCAATATCCGCCATTATAATTTCGTAGTTTACATCAGCTATCAACATCAGCACTATGCTGGGAGTCTTTTTGTAGTTAAAATAGTGGCTACCTGAATTTGCTGGTTTTTTAATCGCTACATGTTTACCATCTATTGCACCTAAGCAATTTGGGAAATTCCATCGGCTATTAAAATTTGATGCGATTTCTTTCCAGGCCTCTTCATTTCTTGGCATCTAGAATTGCAAAATATATAACCTAACTACACTATACCTGTGTATAACTGCTGAACACAATTGTTTTTATGATTATCATGTTTCCACTTAACAGGCAGTTTGTAATAATTTGTAGTACTTGCAATCTACTGTCCACTAAAATGGACAACGTTTTCTTCGAAATATATTTTTTTTTTAAATTTCCAAAATTTATTTAAGCTAATTGACCTCTGTGAAACCGTTGGTAAAAATTTCAAAACATTCTGTCGAAGGGTTTTTTTGTGGGATCTGAAGAGGATATGATAATAATTAAAGAATTTTTGGAGATGACACCGTAATTCTTCATATAGTTTGTGAAATTGCCCTTTTAGTAAACGTTGGGAAGTAAGGGGATGCACCCAATACTTTTTTCTTCGTTTCATTTTCCTTCTTCGAATCTCTAGGGCACATACACATGCTATCTCTTCAAAATCCATCATCGACTAGTTAGAGCGACAGTTCAGTTGCGTTTTGCGTTATGTGCGCACGTGGTAGTCGGCCGACTATATGGTTGTAGTAGTGAGTGCGAAATTAAATAATCGATAATCAAATAAGTCGGCCAATCAAATAATCGGCCGACTAAAAATTGCATGTCAGCGCCTAGCCTTATAGCCCATATATTTTCAAGCAAAGTAGGTGAAATTAACAATTTTTGGGGATGAATATAAACAGATCATAAGAAAATATAGCAATTAACCAAACAAAATTTATAGAAAACTTTTATTAAGTTTGAGATCAAAAAATGCAACCACCAATGGCAAAAGTTTTCAATATAATCCACAGTAATAATATACCATTTACGGAACTGATAGGAAGCCTAATGTACATAACAACAACAAGACCTGACATAACTTTTTCAGTATGATATTTAAGCAGATTTCTAGATAAACTAACAGAACTGTTGCCTGGTAGTGTAATGAACGTAAGTGAATAATAAAAACTAATTGTTGTATTTTTTTATTTTTAAAACATTGTATTATGTTTAGATGTACATGCTTGTTTTGAAATTTGACTTACGTGGTATTGGTTTTTATTCTAGTTCTGCTATAATGACTTCAAGATCGAAAAGAATGCTTCTGATGTGCCAAATTGATGAAAATAGACCAAATAAAGTTGCCAAAAAAAATACCATTGGTCCTGATAATGACTCACATGAAAAAGAGAATCAAATTGCTGATTTCAATATAATGGATTTGCCGATGGATATTATCGATGACGTCAATGATAGCTTTTTAAAGGCAATGGATCCTGCTAATCGTGCAGATAATGAAGTGGAGCACGCTGTATATAACTTGCAAGAGACTGTGGCTACCGAGATCAATGTTCCTGAAGCAGAAAGTGAAAACGACGATGTAGGTCAGGACAAAGATTTTCATATCAGTGAAGAGGAGAACCTAGAATCAGAATCAGCCACATCACTCACATCAGAATCTTTCAATCTACAAGATCAAGATCCCCCTAAAAGAAAACGCGAACTCGGTAGGAATACTAAAAAAATAAATCAAGATCTGAGGATGAAGAGAAAAGCGTACCTAGGATACAGAAGGCCACCTAATCAGTCAAAAACATTTCACTTGGAATACCTTGTATTTCAAACTTTTGCCGAAAATCCAAGAAGAGAAGATGCAATGAAATTAATGATTTAAAACGTGAAGAAGTTTTCAAAAAGTTTTGGCAAGATTTATCGTGGGGTCAGAGACAATCATATGTGTGTAATTTAGTAAATAAAGTACCACCTCAGCAAAGAAGATCAGAAGGAGAAAATGTTTGAAAAACAGGAACTCTTAAATATTCCCTCAAAATAGACGATGGCATTTATCCTGTATGCAAAAAAATGTTCCTTTCCACACTGGGGTTAAGAGAATGGCAAGTTTGTAATTGGGTCAAGCAAAGTAAACATGGAATCAATGACGAAAAGAATGAAAGACCAAGAGTTGGAGGCATTTTATCAGAACGAGCACCAAAAAATAAATTCATGAAGTCATTTTTAGAAAACCTTAACAAGTTGCCGTCGCACTATTGCTGAAAAGACACGAATAAATTATATTTGTAGCAGTCGTTTTTTAGTATTGTTGACTTATATACAGTGTACAAAGAGAGCTGCAGGTAAAAAAATTAAGTTGCAATGAGTCAAATTTAATTAACAAAAATGATGAAAAGAATAAATATTAGTCTCTATCAACCAAAAAAAGACAAGTGTGACGTTTGCTGCCAATACGAGGAGAAGAATTTATCAGTTGAAGAATGGGAAAAGCATTGCGAAGAGAAGGAAAGAGCGAGAGAAGAAAAAGCAAAAGATAAAGAGCAAGGTATTTTGGGTAGACATCATGTGATTACTATGGATCTGCAGGCAGTAAAAGTTTGTCCTTCATTGAATGCCAGTTCTGTTTATTTCAAAACTAAAGGGTCGATTACACGGAGATAGTTTACACGCCACTAGCGCACTTTTTTACTGTCCGGCTAGTCAGATAGTTGGCGAGTAAAAAGCGCGCATGATTACACGCAACAAGTAAACAAGCTTAATCTTGTTCACTCGCAACCACCTGATTGTTGTGTTTATGTGTACAAAGCCTCAACATAAAGTGGAATAGTAATAACATCAGCAAGTTTTTGGAAATTTACGAAAATTTTCCAGTATTATGGAATATAAAACTAAAAAATTATCACGATACAAAATTGAGGGACGCGGTTTTCGAAAAATTAACTGAAGAATTAAAAGCTGAAGGTTTAGTTGAGGATATGACACCAAAGCAGCTAAAATCAAAAATAAAAAGTATTAAACATGCCTACCGCCAAGAATTTTTCAAAATTGAAAAGTCAAAAAAAAGTGGTATGGGAACCGATGATATCTACACTCCTAAATTGATTTGGTTTGGTAAAGCTGATTTTCTACGGGAAGTTACATCAACAAGAGAGTCAAAATCAAATTTAGTAAGTATATATTTATTCAATAAAAAAACATAATAATTAGTATTTATTACTCTTGGGTTGGTTAAATTTCAATACCAACTTTTTCCCATTGCCATGGAACAGATCCTTCTGTCATAAAATATTGGGCATAAGAACTTCGTACATTCTCCGCTTCTCGTTTGTAATTATTGCTGCCCAAGTGGCTCACCAGCCGTAGTCCATTAGTATGATTTCGCCACGTTCCCGATGACACCTCAAAAGTATTTAAATCCTCACTGTCAACTGATTGTGGGGTAAGGTAAGTATTAGAAGTCATTCGTAGCCAATTATGTAAACTACAAGCAGCCCAGATTACTTTATCAATAGTATCTGATTTTAATTGTATTGGTCTCTGAAATACTCGAAATCGCCAGACAAGTATACCAAATGCATTTTCTACTACTCGCCGCGCTCTGGAAAGCCTATAGTTGAAAACTTTTTCTTCATTTGATAAGTTGTTTTTACTATACGGCTTCATTAAATTTGCTCTTAAGGGAAATGCATCGTCACCAATAATAACTGATTTGTCAGGGAAGCCTAACAACTTATTCTGAATGGCTATGTTTAAAGTTGAGTCTCTGAATATTGCACTATCGCTTGCACGTCCATTTCCTCCTATATATATGTATCTGAAGCTGTAAGTTGCATCCACCATGGCGAATAAAATTATGCTGTATGTGCCCTTATAATTATAAAATGATGAACCTGTTTGGTGGGCATTTAATTTGAACGTGTTTACCATCAATTGCACCGCAACATCTAGGAAAATTCCAATATGCCATGCATTTTTTTTCTATTTCTTTCCATTCATCACTTGCTGAGGGCACCTGAAAATATAATAAAAACGCTGATACGAAAACAAAACGGATACAGAAGAAGGAGAATCAGATTTGAACACTGACAGGACAACATTGGGTAAACAATCCTATCCATCACATAAAAGAGTTCTTCATGCACCGATCACGAAACCTCCTCCTGCCAAAAGAACCCAAGCCAAAGAAAAACGATCATGCGTACAGGGTGCCCTTGAAGAATTTAATGATATTGTTTCAAAAGTGAATAAACAGGATGCATTTGATGTTTTTGGATAGTATGTTGCCATAGAGCTTCTAGAATTACCTAGTAAGGAGGCAATAATACTACAACAACAAATACAGAATTTGATTACTAATACAAAACTTTCTAATCTGCTGTCTTCATCATGTATGCCATCATGTTCACCCTCTACATATGCTCAATCTGTAGTTTGCTCCACTCCACAACCATCACCCGATCCTGATAGTGTTATTACTGAAAATTATACATCTACTACAAATACCAAGAAAAGTACTGACTACGCCAATGTCCTTCCAAATACTGTTTGGAACAAAAAGAGTTCTGATGTGTTAGAGGAAGCCATGCAGAATAGTTTCCTTGATAGTACAGACAATGCAATTTATATGTCATTGTAATTGTTTTAAAAAAAGAGAGAAATAAACTTATTTACTGTTCATGACTAGTTTTATTTATCTCCTATTTCTTTAGGTAATAAAGAAATGCCAACATTGATAGGAAACTAAAGAACAGAAAAATCTTTTTGCCTAGCGACTACTTAAGAGTTTGTGAAAAAAGCACATCTACTGAAAAATATGAAGCAAAACTAGTGAATCACAAGTTTTTCAGGAACGTAAAAAAAAATCTCGTTTATTATTCAATAGGACCCGGAAGGAAACCAGGAGACCCAACCGTTACAAATCTACGAGCTTTGAAATACTCGCAAACATTTTTTTTAAAACTAAATTTTGATAGTTAGTATGAAGAGCTACCACAAAGAACAAGAAAAACTATTTCTTCCACTAACAATGAATATGAACAACTTCATAATCAAAGAATAAAAATAAAAAAA